TGTGTGTGTGAGTGAGTGAGAGTGTGTGAATGAGTGTGTGTGTGTGTGAGTGAGTGAGTGAGTGAGTGAGTGAGTGAGTGAGTGAGAGTGTGTGTGAGTGAGTGTATATGTGTGTGTGTCCTCAAGAGATTGTCCATCATCATCATCATCATCATCATCTTCATCAAATGAGGGTAATTTGCGGGTCAGATTTCTCGGGGGTGCAGCAGTTAAGATCCTCCTCTCCTTTGCTGCCAACTAACTCCACCCCACCCATTTCGCTGCGGCGTTTCCATGGTGACTGGTCTTCCATTACTTTGACGACTGCACCGTCTCCTGCAGTGACAGGCGGGAGCGTGCCGGAGGGAGGGGCCCCATCACGGACTGGACTCCGCTCAGCCTCCACGGAAGCAGGCCCAGGAAGTTGTCCGGCTGGTGCGTGTCCAGCGTGAGGCTGAGAACCCTCTGAGGAGCGGCGGCTGGAGGATTGTGGGTAGTGTAGTTCCTGCTCGAGGGGATAGTAGAAGGTGGACGAGGATGTCGGGGATGGAGAAGAGTGGTCACTGCGTTCCTGGAGAGAGAGAAGGAAGCAGGAGAGGAAGTCAGAGGCAGAGGAGAGTGATGGTTGAATGAAGGTTGGACAGATGGATGGATGAATGGATGAAGTGATGGATCAAAGCAACATGTCTGTGGACGGATGATGAACGGATTAGATAAGATGCAGAAGAGATCACAGACGGTGAAACTAACTCTGTCAGAGCTTTTCCTCCTCATTCAGTCCAAAGTCTTTTAAAGCTCACATCAAAACTGTAAAGATTCCGCTCAGGAAACATCATCACATCAAGTATCATTATTATTATTATGGTGTTTCCCTCTTATTATAATTCATTTATGTAAAAAATGTTGTTAAATTTCAGGACTCTGCATTTTAAAGACAAATTTAAAAAGTAATCTGAAAACGCCTCCAGGAATCTTCCCTCGGATAATAAACTAGATTCGATTTTCTCCCTTCAAGGATAAAAGAGAAATGTTTAACATTCTGTGAGTTGAACCATGAGCACATTTTAAAGCTACCTGTCAAAGTTAATGTTCATCATTCACATCCAACGCTTTTTCAACAGAAATCCTTTTTGAAACGATGCTTTGTCAGTGATGACGTTCAGATAATGAATCATGTTGGCTGGTGATCAAGGAAACGTTTCATGGAAACATGTAATCATTCATATATTTCACCACACGATTGAATGACGTGCAACAAGTTTCATGGGTGAAAATGAAGTTCTGACTTGTGTTAGTGAGGAAAGTGAAGGAAGCAGACGCTCAGTTTGTTGCTTATTTGATCTTTTCTTCTGATTAAATTTCACTCGTTGGTTTTTCTTTCAATCGTTCTTTGGAGGAAGTGCTGGCTCTTTGATTGGATGTTTCTTACTGCATGTACTATGTTTTGAGTACTTCATATGTTGCGTACTTATACCTTCTGTCTACTTCTACACCGGGGATCAGAGAGAAGCAGCATTTCAATCCCGTCTGTGTCCTGGACATCGTAGAATTGACTGTTAAGTTGACTTTGAAATGCATCTTGGGAGTTGTAGTTGATTGTTTTGTGTCAGACCTAATCACCTCAGACTGCTGTTGGAGAATTAATCACAACATCCAACCTGACGTGTAATAATAAATAACTGAAATGATGAACCGTGACTGGAACACAAGGGTTCATGCAGTTACATGCAACACGTACGAACGACTGACGCTGCGGTTGCCAAGGAGCAGGACAGGATCAAGAGGCAGTTGCTAAGGAAGCTGAGAGGCAGGGGGACGTGGAGACTGGACGATGAGCAGCGGTGGGAGGGACAGGAAGTGGGCGACGGGCTCATTTTGGGAAGGTTAGTACATCACTGTCAGACCTCACTCTCTGAAACACACACACACACACATACGCAAAGGAGAAACACAACAGGACAGAGGGTTAGAGGAAGAGACACATGATGGATTAGGGTCGGAGGAAACCTGCTGGACGTCAGGAACACTGCAAAGGTTAAGACAGGAAAAATGACACACAACATGAAAAACAGCTGAGACAAATAAACGAGTCGAGAGAGACGAACTCACAGATGAGTGATGATGTCATGAGGATGAAAAGCAAAATAAAGTTGGACCCGTCTCAAACGTGGAAGAACTGATGGCCTCGAATTCTGTTGTTGCCATTTTAACGAAACATGTAAATATCAATTCAAAGTGATTATGATTGTACAACGTGACATGGATCAGATGAGGACACGACGTGAGAGCAGATAAGAATCAAGGCTTCAACCACTGACTCATCAGTCAAATGAGAAACTACACTCCGACGTATTTAAGTTAGAAGAAGACGAATCGTTCAAGTCCTGTGCATTCTGAATAAATCCTGAACTCTGTGCAGACACATCCGAAGTGACTGACGGAGCACGAGTGACGTGTGCAAATGTTTGTGCTCTCCAGATAAAGAAAGAAGAGCTTCCTGTTTGTCTTCTGTAAAATAAAACTTGTGAATTAAGCCACAGTTTTGGATACAAGACGTTTGTTAATGCAGGTGGAGAAAATCTGCTGAGCACAACATTCAAGAGTTTGCTTCAGGAGGAAACCGTGAACGTATTTGAGAGGAATCTACAAATCTAGACGCTCTCTCGAGCTGCTGTAAGATTTCACTGCTTCAACAACTACACAGAGAGTATGAAGTGCATCCAGCAGCAGCGTGAGGATGGATGACGCTACAGGCTTCTCTCGCTCTGCGTTGAAGGAGGCAGACCCAGAGAACACCTGCAGGGTGAAGGGTAAATGCTTCGGTGAGGATGAATGAGGGGGAGAGGACACGGGGTCACATACGTGCTGCATTCACCACTGCAGAATGGTGTATACCTCTGTATACAAGGGCTGGACAGCCTTCTGGCCTGACGGATCTGAAAACAACAGTTTACAGCTCAGTTACAGTAACGTGAAGAGCTTCTTTCCAGAAAACCACAAATCCATTCAACAGAGGATTTACTGATCTGAGGAGAATCCAGATTAATTCATTCATTCATTCAGAGTTAACGTCTGTGGGAGAAATGTAATGCTGCTCAGATCTTTTATTTCATATCGATTGGCTGGAAGCTCTGAATCTTCTGAAATCACTCCACGCCTCCAATATTCAGCCTTACACTTCAACCTGCAGACTGCTGATGCAGAATAGTTTTATTTATAAAATTCATTATAATAATGTTTTTTACTTTTGGTGGATAATCATGTGGTTTTGGAAGCAAACTCTTCAAACAGAGAGAAGACACGGAGGGAGAAGAAGATAGGTGTGTGTGTGAGTGTGTGTAGGTGTGTGAGTGTGTGAGTGAGTGTGTTTGTGTGTGTGTGTGTGTGTGTGTGTGTGTGTGTGAAAACATTCTTAAGTCATCATCAGGTTGTGAAAAACCTGAAAATGTAAAAACAAAGTATAAACATTCTGCAGAATACGTGTGGACACATTATACATGAAGTGATCTGAACGATCAATCCTCTAACACACTGTCACTTGTTTGTTATCTTAGACATATTGTCTCCAGGTCCGATCTCAGTGAGTGTTTTATTTAACTTCCTCGGCCACAAGAGGGAGCCACTAAACCTGATCAGACATAAACAGCCTCCAGCTGTTTAAAGTGACGTCACTGATCAAATAAATGAAAGAAATCATGAAGCAGGATTCATTATTTATCTTACAGGGATTTTACTCATCTGTTATTGTGCAGATCTGTGTGGCTGAGTCGAAGCTCTTGTGTTTATGGTTTGATTCCCTGGCTTTACCAACATTACAACAGATGAGTGTGATACCCACAGTGTTCGCTGAGCGTCCGGGGCCCCGCTGAGCCACTATGGCTCCTGAGATGGCTTTAATCCAGCTGTGCATGTCCTCTGGACTGTCAGCCTGACAGAGAGGAGGTTCAATGTTAATGTGCATACAACTGTGTAGAAACTGAAAGAGTGAGATTAACATCGTCTTCATTGTTGTTACCTGGATGTAGAAGGTCCTGGAGCTGGTGACCATCTCAAACAAATTGTCCCTCATCATCAGCTCGCTGCAGAAATCAGACAGAAGCAGCCGCGTCACTTTTTAATGAGTCTGGATCTCAGCACAGATTCAACTGATCACAAAGGAAAAGAACTGACCTCTGTTTACACTCCTGAACTTTGTGAATCTCCTTCAGAGCGATGACTCTCAGCGCCTCCCGCTCCTGTGACAACAAGAGAAAACTGAACTTCACTGCTCGACAGCTGGAAGATGCAAAGACCACAGATCATAGAGAACTTAATGTGGAGTTTCAGAAAGAAACCGACAAAATAAAACTTTGTTCCTGTGAAAGAAATCATCAGAATAAAAGAATGCAGTGACTCAGAGGTGAATATTTTCTATTTGAAGAGAAGAACAGGACAGAAAAATAATTAAGACTGGGCAGGAACTCTGGTTGTGTTAATCATATTGTATTTTAACTCCAGCAGCACTTACTCCACTGCACAGATCATGACGTGTGTCCTCACACTGAGCGTGAACATTCATATAAGCAGCGTTGATTTGTGCAAATGTATTTAACACGGGGAACGACACATGTAGAACAGATGAAGATGGGACCTCATGCTCCTCTCTCACCAGCTCGCAGCTCTGACTGGCTCAGCACTTGTATTCCCTTCTGGTCACTGACTCATCATATTTAGCAACTTATAATTAAAGGCTATTTAAAGAACTTTTACATGTGTGGTGAACCACAGCTGATTCTCCTCCGTCTGCTCTCAGACGCTGTGTATGAGGCGTGTCATTTGTATGTAATTCTTCTGATGCTGTTAAGAGCGTTTGAGCTGAAGGGTTGTGTTCACTACGTTCTACAAACATTCATGTGTCACTCGTGTCAAACACGTGTCTCAGTGTCCAATCACAGAACTTTAAATTCTGCCAAAGTGTAAAATCATGTTCAGAACATTGAACTATAGTTTACAGTCAAATGATCCAGAGGACCTCTGTGGTTACATGATCGATTATTCAAGTTCACCTCTCACTTTATTCTGTGTGTGTGTGTGTTTGACTTCATATGTCTTTACTTTTAGATTTCAGGTTTTTTACTCAGTTGTAATCATCAGTAAGAAAACATCAGTCTACAGAATCACACACACACACCCACAGAATCACACAGACAGACAGACACACACACACACAGAAACACACACACACACACACACAGGGTGTGTCCATATATGTGCACAGACAGCCTGAGGCTACGACTCCCTGCTCTGTCCCTCATATGAGGTATTCAGGAAACATGCTGCTGCTGGTGAAGACATACAACTCCCTGCAGGCAAAACAAGCCTCACTGTGTGTGTGTGTGTGTGTGTGTGTGTGTGTGTGTGTGTGTGTGTG